GAATATCAGAAGGGTATAAGTTCAGCAAATATTATTTTTTTTACCTTTTACACTTGCCTAATATTGTTCGCTCTATGTGCGACAGTTTTCAAATGAGCTTGCATTTCTGTTTGCTAATTTAGACACAACTCCTTTGTATTGATATTTAAATATTTTTGTATTCTATTTTTTTGGACATCTTGTATTGTATATAAATGATAATTTTTAATTTTTTTATATCCGACATGCTGTTTGATTATTCTATATTAGTTGGATTAGCATGATAAGTAGTAAGTATGACCATTTCGATTTATGTCTGATATCACTTACAGATTTCTACTGATATATAAAACATATTATATAAGTCTGATCAATATACATTTTCATCTACTAATCAATAATGATCAGTTTCAAATCTTATATCTACGTGCGATTTTTTGATAAATTATCACATATAAATAATATTTAATATTTGTAGAAAAAAATCAATATATATTTAATTTTAGAGTAAGTTGAGAATTTTGTGTGACTGCGTCAGTGTAGTTTGAAAGTGCGGTGTAAAGCTGAATATTTTTCGACTGTGATAAAACCGCAATCTGGCAGTTACATCGTGCAAACAGTAACTCGCGATACGATGGTTTTTAATATAAATTTTGAGGAATGTGTGGTCGTGCGAAAGATATAAAATAGTCGCCGCCATGTCCACACATCCACTCTTGCGCTGCCATAAACATTACGTGCCCAGACAAATATTTCTTTCACACCAAACGTTATGTGATCCTGCATTTTTTGTTCGATCTAGAAGATATAAATTCAATTCACCATGTACGTACACGTACCGCGGGCAGAGTTTGCAGTTTTATCGTTCGTTGCCAACGTGTCGTAAAGATAATCGGAACAATAAATTTCGAAATAATACAATAATAAATGAATTTTGATTCATCATATCGCGTACGAATTTTTTTCTTAAAATTGTGTGTGAAAGTCTTGACGAATTAGAAATGATAAATAATAGAAATAATAAAAAAAATATCATTTACATTTTTATATATGCTTTTATAAATATTTTATCTTATACATTTTATTAGCTAATTTGTAATGAGATATATCTATTGTAATTTTATGAAATATTTAATTACATGTGTATATCAATTATCTATTTTCTGTTTCTTGCTGGCCGTTTACGATGACTCACTTGTTTCGCGGAGCTCGCAGATGAAGAGCAAGCATTAGGGGTTTACGAGGCGAATATTCCGTAGGACGATTCGGAGGGACGCTCGCAGTCCTGGCGAGTGGATTGGGTAAAGGTTGGCGGGCGAAATGAGGGGGTTGGTTATAAGAGGTGAGAATTATTCATAAACGTAAGGCTGACTTTTAGTAGAGGAGGAGGAGGGAGTGAGAGAAGAAACGGCGTAGATTTCTCTCTGCCGTTTCGAGAAGCTGAAATCTACCGAATATTAAGGCAGGTGGTAAGGGATGGTCGAGGGAGGCAGGGCGAGGTTCTCCACAGGCCGCATAATAAACACATAACGGTAATCCTTAAAACAATAATTAGCCGTGCGGGCCAACCAACAGGCGACGATTTTCCGGCCGCCGCGTGAAATGGCGCCGCTTTCGCAATTCGTTGTCGAATTAATACCGGGACTCGCGACGGTGTAGCACGATCCACCCACACCATGGTCGCATTACGCGGTAGGAATTGTACTTACTTCCTATAGCGATTATCCGCGGAAGGATATTGCCGCTCGGAGGAGAGTATAAACTGTTTGTTATTTGCTACGTGTTTTAACATTTTACGAGTGCGTCTATCGCACTGTATAATTCTCAAGAGAATGTCTCTTCATTTTCTCTATTTTTTATATATTCATATTCATTGTGTGCAATTTGAAAAAATGAGAAGTTAAAAGATTTTATTTTTATATGTTAATAATTTAAATTATAAAAGAATACAATTTGTTGTCTATACATTTCGTGTCACTAAATAAAGACGGAACTGATTACAAACTTGAATCTAAATAATTAACGCTCAACTTGTTGGATCGAATCGGGTTTAATGTGTGCTATCGATCAAATTGAAAAAAGTTTAGTGATTAGATAAATATGTTACTAATATTACAAAATGTAAAGAATATTTAGGATATGTCTCAAAACATAATATAAAAAAATATTTTTAATAAATGAAATTAAAATTTTTTTTTACGTTACATTTTAATCAATTTTTTTTCAAAACAGAATAGTGTATGAATATATCGAAAAATAAGCGAAAAAATAATTATTATATTTATATTAGATCAAACAAATATTTATGTAAATAATTACATATTCTTATTAATTCGCGAATATGCTGTACGAATTAAGGAAATTCGTCACATTAATTTCGTAAAATAAAAATTACATTAACGTCAACATTCCATACATCTTCCTCCTACGTGATTTTATGCAAACGGAACTGCCAGAGAGATTCTTGATCCTCAGGGACATTTAAAACATCCGAGAAGGGCGAACGAGCCTTTTGCAAAGGTGAGAGAATCGTGCGGGTCCGTGGGGGATGCACAAACGGGAGAGGTGGGCTTGAAATGAAGCGGAATAAGACCGAAGGGGTGCCGCGAAGTGGTAATAGTTTTAATCCGGTGTCTTGAAGTCAGGATTTGGCGGTGCGGCAGTTAGTGGTTCCCGGTAAGTCCAAGCGAACCCACTTCGCGCTCTGATATCATAATCCGAATAATCACTATTATTGCCGCCATTTGCTTAATCCGAAGTCCACCCTCCCCGCATCCGACGCGGTCGTAAGCTGCGGCACCTGTTATTCGGTTTCAGGACGAGAAGCGTCGCGAGCGTCCAATCGAAAGTTTCCTTTTGCATTTTTAATTTCTTCAATTATTCCATCGCTCTTGAATGACAACGACTCTGGCTGCGACTCGTAGACGGATGGACAAATATCTCTGTCCACTTGATTTCGGTTGTCGCAGTTTACGGGCGTCGATTTATTTCAAATCTAATTAATATAATTATCTTTCATCCTTATAACAATTAAAATCGACTGGTAAATACATTGCATTAGTATAAAATGCAATTCCAAATAATTATACAAGAAATGATCATTTTTGTATAATAATACTATGTTTTTAATTAAACGCGCGAGTAGTAATTTGCCAAATTTCCTTTCTTATGCCAAACAATATGTTTGATTTTGTCTAATATATATGAAAGATATAAAATCATCGTCTGGATCAGTCTGATCGTGTTTACGTGACTATTTGGAATCAAGAAATGATAACGCGCTCGGGACCTCGACGAGGGGTTACGCCAACGCATCCACCGGAAGTTCTGCCGGCAATAACGCATAAACTTCATTTAGCCTTATTTAAGCCGACTGGGAGGCGGCAGAGACATTAAATCCCCGAGATTCGTTCTAATGGTCGCGACTCACTTAGAAACTGCGATCTTTCGCGAGGTGTGCGCGCATAATGCGCGCTCTGCGTGCGTTCTTAATAAATTCGCTCGAACCCGGAGACCGGTTGAAATCGCCTAAGTGAAACGACGAAAAAACTTTAGCGCAAACTGCCGCTCTTAATTTGGCCAGTTTGTTTAGCAGCGGTCGCTTGTTCCTCTCTACCTTGCTTTCCTCTTTTTCCCGTTCCCCTTCTCTTTGTCCTCGCCCTCTCTTTTTCTCTCGCTCCCTCTCGAGGAACAAGCGGTTCGTTCGCTTCCAGAAAAAGTTCGGAATTACGAATTAGCAGGAAGTCGGCAGGAAAGTACCTGCATTTATTCTGAATTCAGCTTATTATGAAATTATAATGCGGAGGACGACTTAAAACGAGCGGTTACCCCTTTCGCGTTTATATACCGCCGCTGGATTAAGGGTCATCGTATTTTGCTATTAATTACCGTTTAATTCAGTGATAAGTTTTCCGTAGCTCCGTGTGATATTCTCTTTTTAGACTCGGATTTTTTTATAATTGTTCTATATATCATACAATATTCTTTTAAAAGATTTCAAAAGCTTATTTTGCTTAAAAAGCTTAATTTGTTGACTTAGTCTATTTTCTTTCAAAAGATCGAATTCTAAAGTGTGAAATTGCGATCATGCTAATGGAGGAATTGCTGATGTGACAATACAGAATGCGCAATAGATGAAGATGCGAGGAAGCTATATCCTTGGAAGGGAAGCGGAGGGGTTGATCGACGACGATCGACTGCACCGTGATGCGCGGATGAGAGTAATCTCCAACGGTGCTCGTAATTGCGCGACATTCTAATCGCCCGAAAGATTACGGCCGGGGGTCGGGGGCGCAAAACGGGGGCCGGAGGTGGCACACACCGCTGGGTAATGTTACGCGAGACAGTAGTCTCGGGTGGCATGTGTCGTTGATGAGGCGGTTAGTATTCAGCGGTGCTTCCTGGTCCCCCGGAACTTTTGAAAACTAACCGAGTAAAGCCACCTTAATTCCATAAGAGGGAGACCGAAGGGGTTTCCCGGGCGTCACCATAACACCCTCTTAATTACAGGATATTAGGACGCCTACGGAAGACAGGGCGCGGGAAAAAGCAGATAGCGCGATTTATTATCCGCCGCTAATCTTATCTCAGTTTTTTATGATTTTCTCGCTACATGCGTTCCTCTAAGGATTGCAAATCGACAAAAACGCCAATGATATCGGTTGACATTGATATCCTGATATTGTTAATTTAATTATTTCATTACATCCATATAGATTTAGGGAAATCATTAATAAATAATTAATATGTTACTATATGTTTTATAAGATTAATTTTAGAAGACTCGAATAGATGATTGAGACCATATATAAATTAGAATTCTAACATAATTTGAATTATCATGTTATTATTGCGATGCGAATCGTCTATATTAAGATTTTATTATTTCGCGAATTTAATATAAATGATCAAACTTTTGAATAAATGAACTTTTACTGCTCCTATAATATTTAAAATGTTATCGCGGATAAGCGAAATTTTCATAGAAGTAACAAAGATTTTGAATATAAATGTGTACTTACGTGCAGAGAATCACTTCCTTGCCGCCCTCGTAAACGGCGTCCTTGCCCCATCGTTTCGGTAGTTCCATGAGAGAAATGCCCAAGTTGCCCCATAATGCCAACTGCGTTGCTGTCTCGTTTATCAGTACATTTGTGACGTCAAAAATTGGCGGATCCGTCGGTTGTAGTGTCTATAATAACAAAATTATTTTATTGTTAGAACAATATTGTGAGTTTATAAATAAGATAAATACATAAATTTGCTAATAAGAAAACTGAATCATCAAATCCGCAAAATAGACTCCCTTATAATAAAGATTTCATCGGCTAGGACCATTCCATTAATTAAAATTTTAAGGAGGCAAGCGAGGCGAGAAAGAAAAGTGGCACGTCGCCGATCCCGAAAACGTTTCCACGCGAGATATAAATTCATTATTACACGAGCCAGTAAGCACGCCGCAGGATTCCTCGCCCGATCGCGCCATTTTCTCCTTTGGACCCTCTCTCTTTTTTTTTCAGTCTATCCATCTATCTCTACCCGCGAGATATCTCCCCGTCTTCCTGCCTCTTTCGCCTCTCCCGTCTCCCCAACCTACGAGACGCGCATCGTCTATCGATTAAAAAACTTTATAATACGATCCCGCTTCTCGTTTGTTTTCCAGTTTGATTTTTATCGTGCCGCCCCGGGAAAAAGGCAGGTGCACAACGTCGTCCACCCTTCCCTTCGCAATCTCCCGATTTCTCTCTTCGATGTTCTCCTCCGCCACCCCTGTCGTTCTCCTTGCCCCGATATTTAATTTCGAACTAAGTTCGCCAACGCGAACATCATTACGAGGCGGCATCCCCGCAGGTGGGGTATCGGCGTGTATCAAGGGGCAATTACTTTTTTTTCCTACCCAGAGGCTGGTTATTCCCTGGGTTTCTCTGATGGGGAAGACTTCTTTTCGTCTCGATATATCGAGTATCGTTGCGTCTCTCGTTCAACGTGGTATTGCGAAAATGTGCAGACGGAACGAGAAATGAAACAAGTTCCGTGAAAGGCTTTTCGAAATAAAAGAATATATTTTAATAATATTCTTTGTAGAATATTTTTTAATACAAAAATAAAACTCTTCATAATTTATGAAAAAATATTATTTACTCCATTAAATTCCTCAGTTCTTTATCCTAGATTGAGAATATATATATATATAAATTCAATGCGTTTTTAAAAAAATAAGCAAAGAACTCGATTTGTACTCCTATGATCAATACAAAAATCGAGTGCCACTGTGATAATGTGTAACATATTCGCACGTTGATTCATTCGGGATATTTTGGTAGCGGAGAGAGCGAGGGTAGGTTGAAAGCCAGGACGATAAAGGGTGTCGGACGATGGTACGCGTGGCACGGAAGCGGTATGAGCAGGAAAATGGAAGGGTATAAAAGGGGGTGGTAAAGAGTGGGAGGGAAAGGGAGAGAGAGAGAGAGAGACAGCGCGGGATTCCCGGGTACCGATGCCGACACACTGGCGCGCGAGGCTGTAATGCGTTATTAATGAACACCAAGAATTTCATTAAAGATTGTTTGTATATCAAACTGTCCACTAAATTATGCCCTATAACCCCCGTGGCGCCTTTACGCGCCTGGAAACTATTGGCTGCCGCAGTAGCACTGCCTTTTCCGACCTCCACGTGCCATCAATGACCTGCCAGGCGGACAAAAGTCGCAATCGTTTCGATAAAAAACGAACCAGTTACTATCAATCGCATTTATTTCACAATTCTTTAGATAATTAATTTACGATTTAGCGACTCGATCGGTCGATGATCGTTCGCGATATTCATCGACCGACGAAGTCAGTTATTTCGCGACCTTTAGGACATACATTATTAGGAGGGACGATATAGGTAGCTAGGACGTGGCACGTGCGACGAGAGGAGCAAGAAGGACATGTGTGGAGGATGAGAGAGAAAGAGGACGAGAGGGCGAGCGAGTGGCGGATGAACGGAGAACAGAGAGAGAGTAAAGAGGGTATAGGGAAGGGGTGGTAGGTGGATGGAGGGATACAGTTAATCGTTGGGAAGCTATTAACTTCGGACTGGAATGCCCCATAGCGCCTCATTTCGTTCAATGCAAATTTACACCCGACGCTAACCACTTATAGCGCGTGCTCTTCGTTCTCTTTCGACGCGAAAACTCGAAACGGGAAACGAATGTGGTGCTCTATCTGCGATAATTTTCCTTTTTCATTTTCAATATTTCGTAGGCGAATAATGAAAGACTGAAAGTGAAAAAGTAAATAGAATAAATGTATGGACATCGAAGAATAAATATTATAAAATTTAAAAATTGATGTGATTTATACGGATGATTATTATGTTCGAAATCGAGATAAATATATGAGAAATGTAAAAAATTTTTTAAAAGTTTAAAATATACTCACAGAAGCAAAAAGATATTCGATGTTAGCGTTCGATAGGGCAATACTGCTTTAAAGTGTAAAAAGTGGAAGTTAAAGAAGAATAACATGAGAATTAAAAAATCTGAATTAAATCTTTGAAAGTTTAATAGGAGTCACATAGGCAACGCGAAGAAGATTTCGCTCCTTCAACTTATCCAATTTGGTTGTCTCTCGTAGACGATCAACGTCGTAATCGGTGACCCGGTTCGCAGCTCCATGAAACTTGGACCCTTCTGCTTCCACATCGCCATTTCTACGCGTTTCGTCCTCCCTTCTCCCCCGATCGTGCCATCCGCATGTTGCCTTATTAGTTTAGAACTTAGGTTTACCGTAAAGTCGCGCGTGTCACTTATGATCAAAGTCTACTTGCCAAACGACAAGTCTGAACTTCGCTTCTCGTCGAATTGAATGTCCAAAGACAATTCCAGTATGACGATCATTCATTTAATCATTGACGTAAAATTTCTTTATTATTTTCCCGAATATTATTCCTCAACGAAATTTATTCTATCGTTAAAGATACAAAATATTAAACATTTGCTTAAAATTGGCGCTTGTAAACATGGCTTGTAAACGAATTATGTTTTGATTGATATGAGGAGATGCGCAACTTTCGCGATCTTTAGTAATGTATTCCTTTCGCATTGCAGCGTTTATTTGTTGTTTGCTTGACAAACATCGGTCCAAGACAAATCCCGGACGCGAGTTGTCGTAGCCGGCCGAAATATCGCGTTGGCTGCGCGATTTAACGCGCGAAATTGCGCACGTACGACGAAGCGGCCTGACAAATGGCAATGTAACGGGTGCTCAAGATACACATAGTTAACAGCGAGAGATGCGGCACGAGTTGACTAACGACGTCGGGCGTTCTCGCGCTATATAATTTCAAAACATACGCAGGCACGCGGCCGAAATGTCGCGGATAGAAAGGGGAGTGGGAGGGAAGGAGAACGAGGGGTGACCCGCGAACATTGCGAGCCATGACAGCGCCTTAATATGAACAAATGCCGGACTATATCTCAGCTAGGGTTTGCTTTGCATTATTCGGCTAACATCCTCGTTTGCCATCCTTACGTAGATGCCTTACATTATGACGACCGCTCTTCACGCGGAATGGCCGTACTTCTCTTTTCGGGTTCGCAGAAACGCGCGAATATTACCGAATGTGAATTGATACAAATGTACGCGAGGGGTGCACGCCATTCAAACGGCAACATCCGAAAGAGATATATCTCTAAAGTTGGAAACTGAGTGCGTACATTTTACATGTTCTGTTAAAATATGATAGCATATAATGGCAATAACGGCGATAAGCTACGTTTTTATTAATTTATGTGACAATGTATAATATATACACAAGATTATTACACACGTGAATTTATAAAGAGAAACCAATAAATTATTATTACTAGAAATTATTATTAACAACAAGATTAGTATTTCATCAGTAGCTTTAATCTGAAAATGATTTGTCGTGTTACTTTACGGCCTTCCGGCCGTATTAAAAATTTAAAAAAAAAAGAAAGAGATTCGAGAGGGTGAGAGAAAACATTTAAAGAGAACGGGTCAAGATAGCTCGGAATATAAGTCGGATTTTAAGAAACCGTGACAAGACTTGAGATGTCTATCTGACTGGTGCTTAGCGAGAGTTCGCGCAATGTTAATGGATCCTGCTCTCGTAGAAGGGGGGATGAAGAAGGAGAGAAAGAAACAGTACAGAATGAAAAAGAGAGAAGCGGAGGGCGAGGAAAACGGCGAAGAGACGCACGACAGTAGTGGAAATGGATGTGTTCACATTATACCCTCTGTTCTTTTAATTTCTTCAAAGGACTTCTCACCCTGCGACACACTTCGCTGATGCTTGCAGCCTCCGCCTCTCCACCCTCGCCTCCGAATTAATAAGGCGTCGACAATGTGACATCTTTTTTTTTTCTCCGCTCCGAACAGGACGACAGACAGCCGACCCAAAGTGAATGAAGGCTCTCGGTAAGAGGGGGAGCAACAGGGAGAGTACTTTCTTACCGGTACTTAGTGGCGGGATGAGCCGAGCTGCCGTTAATAAATGTGTTTCTTGCAGCGAAAGAAAGAGAAAGAGAGAAGGGAAAAGGGCGAAACAACAGTGCGGAACATGGCACTCTCTCGTTAGATTCTGCCGACTCCAGGGAATACGTCTTAACGAGGAGAAAACTTTTAAATACGCGAGGACGTTATTCGTCGACGTCGAAATACGCCTGATCTCGTTGTGTCGGTCTCAACAAACGCGAGATCAATCAAATGATTATTAATCGAAAGAGGCCGCCTTACAACGGTTTATTATTTATGACATAATTTAAGATAAAATTCTGTTTAAAATTTGATGTGTCGCATAATTATATGCATATCCTATTGGTGATATTTCGTATAAGCTTATAAGTTGCTTTTTTATAAATGTTTTCTAATAATATAATGATATATAAAATTATAGGTAAAATTCCTTTTCAAATATTATCGCGTTATAGATAATTTGTAGTGAATTTTAAACGTAAGAATCTATGAAATATTTAAAATATATACCTTTTAAATTATGCTGCTCTTTGTATCAGTTAGCCCTCGCACACATCTTTCCTAGCTAAAGGTTGACGGTCGACTGAATAACATTTTAAGTTTCTTCACGTGTATGTCAATAATACAATCCCTAATGAGGCGTTGTAAATAAAAAAAGTTTATGTTTGAATATCTTAACATATTTAGTATTCATTATCATTGTTG